GCGGGACGCCCATTGACGAAGAAGTTGATGTCGGAGGTTCGATAGGTTGATGTTATCAAATCGGCAAGAGCCTCGACGGAGCTTTTTAGTGGGCTCGTGCTATTGGTATCGGATAGAGGTGGTGAAGGTAATCGTGCTGAAGAGGGTATTGTTTGCATTTTGTTAAGAATTGATGGCACGGTTGGCTCTGGGACATGCAAAACCTGATAATCTCTGATCAAAAAGAATTATTTCTGGTGAAAGGAAGAGTGAGTGGGATAGTAAATAGAATGGTAATGAAAACTTGAAACAACAGTCCAAGAGCGGGGGATATTTCACGGTAGTCAAGACCGGAGGACGGAGTCACAAATTACAAGCTTGGAACTTTCACGATCTATTTATGTGAGCCTGATAGAATTAGATCTTCCATATTAGCTTTTCCCTCGGTACTATTGTCCTGTTCATGTTACCATATGATCTTGGGAGGAGCTTACTAGTTGAATACAACGTCTAAAGCGGGGTTGAATTCCCAAACACCGAAGCAAGTGTCTTCTGTCCATCCCCCACTCTTGTAAAAAGCACAAATACTTGAAGTTACAGACGAGCCATAGATGATTCTCGGCTACGATTTCAGAACGAATCGAAATCAAATGAATTATTTCAAATGAGGCTGATCCAACACTGCGCTACTGAGCACATCCGTGCTATAACTATGATATGATCGAGGACGGAGAAAATCAATGGAGGATAAAATACTAGTATATGACTACTCTGCTAAAGACAACCATTTTAAAATGCCCCGTCCAATACTAGTTTGTGATGGAGTGGGATATGTAATATTTATAATGCCTCAAAAGTGGGATAATTGCCCCGAAGTTGTCGGTTGGTATTGGTATACAGATCGAAGAGTGGAGGTTCGAGTATCCCCACCTTGGAGTGGGGGTAGTGCAGGTGCGCACGCATTGTTCCCCTTGAGGAATGCATATCTGTCGCCTTCCAAGTCTCATATGATAGCTGCCAAATGAATCATACCTACCCGATGGTAGCAGACTCCTGATTCCACCTTGGGGTTATATGTTCCCTCTAGCATCGCGGGACTACTTTCGAATCGGGCCGAGAACTGAGTATGCTTGTGGTGCACTGATATCAATGATCAATGAGTTGATTGATTGGTGGTCCCTGCATGGAGAATGGGAGCATGGGCCAAACGGCGTCTGTGAGGCAGGGCCTCAATGGGGCAGACAAGACTAGCAGGAGTTCTCGCGCTGGAAGATGTAGAAGTCGTCGGATTTGCGAGATTTCGAGTTCCCCAGTCGTACAAGGGATTGCTTTTGTAAGAGTTGGCCTGCCACGTTGGCAATTTAGGACTGTCAAGTAGTAGGATTACCAGCCTAGTTCAACCAAAAACGCGAACAGCCCCTAGGTCAATTAGTAATTGTTTGAAATATAGCTTTTGCTTTGGCAAGAGTAACATACCATCAGGACATCCACCAGCCCAGTATCCTCTTTCGTTCCATGCAACACAACTAACAACCTTCACCCTCGGACCCATCGGAACCGTCGCAACGTTCTCCCCGGTCAGAATATCCCAGGCAAAGACAGCGGCACCAAGACTAGATGTATCATCCTTGGGTGCTTCGCTTCCGCTCAAGACTACCCCATCACCCTGGGCAAAAACAGAGCGGACACGCAGCTCCGTATTCCGATAACCATGCCGAGGCCGAGTGAGAATACCAGCTGGAGCCTGCTCTTCCTTTTGAGGCGATCCCCCAAAAGCCGCAAGGAGTTTCCCGTCCGTGCGATCCAGCATTCGAATATAACTATCCAGCGTGGAGGTGAGCAGCGCATTACCATCCGCCGAGCAGCGAACACTCGTCACAGGGTGTGCCAACACATCGACAGTTGTTTGACCCATGCGAACATCGTAGACGCGCACATGGCCGTCGTAACTTCCGCTCGCGATGGAGTACGTAGGCATATGGACATGCAAACATGAGACGGTATCACTGGCTTCGGTGAGGGTCTGGATAGGCTTGTGGCCATTGGAGCGCGTGTCCCAGAGATTGATCGTTGTATCGGCACTGCCTGTGATTTCCCAGAGAATGTTAGATTAGCCGGCTTATTGGGGGTGTCACAGAGGAATCGGGAATTGGGTCCATACCAGAGACAACGACAGAGTCTCCGTCACCGGCAAACTGAACTGCCTCAACCTTGCTGTTATGCCCGCCCCATCGTCGAATCGTAGTACCCTGCTCGACATCCCAAAGGAAGACCTGGCGGTCACCGCCTACACTGGCAAAGCGCGCATTGTCAGAGGCAACTGCCACATCGAGGACGCTGTAGCCATGCGCTTCGTATCGCTGGATCGGCGTGGTGGTCTCTACCGCGGTCGTTGAGTGTTCGGCATTGCTAGGAACTGCGCGCGACAGGTGAATTGCGCGGTCCGAGGAGCCTGTGAGTATGTATGTCCCCGGGGAGCTGGAGAAGGTGACCGCATTGACCGGAGCTGCAGCGATAAATTGTTAGTATTTGTTCGTCTGAGGCCGTCACAAGCTTTCGGGCTTACCATTGTGGGTCTTGAGGGTGTGAATATGTCTCGTAGGGAATTTTTTCGGGGCCATAGGTGCTGAGTAGGCCCCGGCGAAGACGAGTGGGGATTGGGGTTGGTGGTTGAAGCTGGAAATGAAATGCGGACGCTGCGGCGCGGGTCTGGGGATCGGCGGAACTACGCCCGAAGGGAAAGCTCCGAACGACTACACTTGTACCATCTATTGAATACATCATAAGCTACAAGGATATCATCTGAAGATACTATCGAAACACAGTTCCCAAACGAAATAAGGATTAACTCTGTATTTTCCACGCTACAGAATACAGGAGGGTTATTATCAAGGATGTAGACACCATCGCTAGCTACCAGCGGTAAATGGATATAACAGAACAAAACGAACCAGCCCCTCACCTCAGGCAAAGGCGCGCCCTCCCAAGCGCGTGAACGGCAAGACATAGGGGTACTCAAGAGAAGAAAACAATGAGGAAGCTTGCGTGGCTTGGACTACCCCCTTTTTTGAAGAACCCGGGCCGCTTCCCGGACGAATAACTTAACGACGACCATGGCTGCGAGTGCTGGAGCCTTGCAGGCCCTCGATTTCCTGCTCGAGCGATTTGATCCTATAGTGCGAGAGAAGTTAGTCTTAGTGAGGGGTGGAATGGTGTGCTTGGGTGATATTGAAACGTACGCAGCGTGAGTAGCCTCCAGATCCTTGTTGAGTCTGTCGCGCTCGGAGATGAGCTTCTGCTCCCACTGGCGGAAGCGCTGTTCCTCAACCTTGACCTGCTCGGTGAAGCGCTTGCGCAGGTTCTCTTCCTCCTCCTTGAACTTGGGGTTGTCCAGCTTGCGTGGCCGGGCCTCGCCGAACTTGCGGGTCTCCATCTGCTGGGCACGGTAGGCCTCGTAGTGAGACTCTTCAGTGGTGTGAATGAGGTCAAGCATGTGAGTGCGGATCAGGATCGACCGGAGCTTCTTAAAGTCGCAGTGGTCCTCGTTCTCGACTTCGGCAACACCCCAGGCGTACTGACGACCCTTGACAACACGACCATCGTTGGCCTTGACATCCTTCTCGGAACCGATGACGGCAAAAGGCATAGCAGCCATCAAGCTGCGGGCGTGGGTAGCGGCGTGCTCGTCGTCCTCCTCGACGGGAGGGTTGTAAATCTTGATGCCCTGGGCCTCGATAACGCGACGAATCTGGTCAAACATTAGCCTCACCAGCCCAATCTGCATTTCCATCACACATAGTTCCAACTCACTCTGTCCTTGTAGCGGACCAGATCGGCATGGCTCAGAGTATCGGCCTTGGCAACAACAGGGATCAGGTTAACGCGGGAGCTCAGGCGCTTCATCACCTCAATGTCGAGAGGCTTGAGGGTGTGTCCGGTGGGCCGGATGAAGTACAAGCAGGCGTGCACACGCATGTCGATCTTGTCGGTACGGCGGGGCTGCTGCTCCTGGAGCATGTAGGATTCGTGCTGGTCATCCAGGAACTCGATGATGGGTTGCCAGGAATCACGGTTGTTGACGTAGTCACCGAAGCCGGGGGTATCAATAACGGTCAGGCGAACTGCAAAAAGGAAGTGGTGTCAGCAATTTCCAGACCAACGACAGTATGCTTCCTCAATTCGAGATCCTCCTCAACCAAGGTAGGGCATGGTGCCGCTCACCCTTGAAAAACTTCTCCTCCAGCTCGGCCTTGGTGATCTCAATCTCGACGGTGCGGTCCACCTGCTTCTGGTGGCGGCGCTTGTGGTCGGCATAGTTCTTAATGGTGGTGGAGAAGAGAGTGTTGATGAAGGTAGTCTTTCCCAATCCTGACTCTCCAGCAACCTATATAGACAGGACCGTTAGCGTCGAGGGTCCGAGGCGGAACACTTCAATCTCAAACGAACCATAATCGTGAAAGCCGCGCCCCGCTTCGCAACAATCTTGTGTCTGGAGGAATTTAATTAGTTCCTCCGATCGCCCCAAAGGACCAATGTTTCGTAGGAAGTACACACCGCTGGTTGGGGAGCTAGAGGTAGAAATTCCTAGTTAGTAATTGGACATCCAATGAAGCCGGAACCCGAACAGACTTACATTGGCAATGCCAATAGGCGTGGCGGTCTCGGTAGTCGACATTGTGAAAAAGGGGGAGTGAGGGGGTTGTGGGAGTTGAGGAAGAAAGAGAGAAACCAGAGAAACGAGCGACTCCCTCAAGAGAAGAACCGAAGTGGAAGAATCCGATGAGTCTCTTTTTTGGCTTGGGGAATAGGGGAAAGAGCTGTCCGATTGCTGCTTCCCCCTGAATCTCCTTTCGTTTTCTGGAGTATAGCTGGCCCTTGCCTATCTGGGACTAGCGCTACACACCATACCTGATTGGGCCCGGAATCGGACTATCTGACTGATCCGCCCGTTCTTATCATTCTGCCCTTCAGGAATTTTTGACGGGAAGCTTGTCGCAAAGGGAAAAAATAGGAAACAAAAGATGAAGACGGACTTTAAGGTGTGTCACTCCATGGCATGATATTGTATGGATTTGATTGACCATGAACTAACCTAATTGACAGTTCTCCAACCTGTTGGGGACGGTCTACCGTCAGGGTAACCTGCTCTTCACTCCCGATGGTACTTGCTTGCTCTCGCCAGTAGGCAATCGAGTCACTGTCTTCGATCTTGTGCAGTATGTCTCCTATGGATTTTTACCGACCTTCACTCCTTGGCCGCTTTATTGTGACCATTCTGACCTCTTCTGCCTCTCAGAAATACCTCTTATACCCTTCCCTTCGCCCACCGCACGAACATTGATCGTCTCGATCTATCTCCCAGAGGCAACCTACTTCTGACTGTCGATGAAACTGGCCGTGCGATCTTGACCAACTTTCACCGTCGCATTGCTATTCACCACTTTTCCTTCAAGTCGCGCGTCTCCGCTCTCAAGTTTTCCCCATCCGGCCGTCATTTCGCAGTGGGTGTAGGAAGACGCCTGCAAATCTGGCAGACCCCCTCGACTCCCGGGACCGAGACCAATGGCGAGATCGAATTCGCCCCGTTTGTTCTACACCGTGACTCTGCCGCCCACTTTGACACTGTTCAAAGCATTGAGTGGTCCAGTGATTCGCGCTTCTTGCTCTCGGCGTCCCGCGATCTGACAGCGCGAGTATGGAGTTTGGACAAGGAGGATGGATTTGAACCCACCACTTTGGCTGGTCACCGTCAAGGTGTCGTGACTGCGTGCTTCGACGCAGCGCAAGAATCGGTGAGAAACATCTCCACTACATCATACTCATTCCCTTCTAATCGTGTTCATAGATCTATACAGTCAGCCAAGACGGTGCCCTGTTCCGCTGGGCATACACGGAAAAGCAGGACCCTGAAACTGATGAGGTTATCGGTGAACCCCAATGGAGAATTGCCAAAAAGGATTTCTTCATGCAAAACGACGCCAAAGTCAACTGCGCCGCCTTCCACGCTCCGTCTAGCCTGCTTGTGGTCGGCTTTTCCAACGGTCTCTTCGGACTTTACGATCTTCCCGAATTCAACATGATCCATCAACTCAGGTATGCATACAGCACCAATTCGATATATACAACCATATACTAATTGGCCGAAACAGTGTCTCTCAGAGCAACATTGATGTCGTTACTATCAACAAATCCGGCGAGTGGCTTGCATTTGGATCTTCCAAGCATGGACAACTCTTGGTGTGGGAGTGGCAATCAGAGTCATACATCTTGAAGCAGCAGGGTCATCTGGATTCTATGAACTCCCTGGTCTATTCGCCTGATGGGCAGAAGATTGTTACCACTGCCGATGATGGCAAGGTTAAGGTTTGGGATGTTAAATCGGGCTTCTGCATTGTGACTTTCACTGAACACACCAGCGGCGTTTCCGCTTGTCAGTTCGCCAAGAAGGGAAGTGTCCTTTTCACTGCGTCATTGGATGGATCTGTGCGAGCCTGGGATCTCATCCGATACCGTAACTTCCGCACTTTCACAGCCCCTTCGCGCATGTCATTCTCCTCCTCGCGGTGGATCCTAGCGGTGAGGTGGTCTGTGCCGGCTCGCCGGACTCTTTTGATATCCACGTGTGGTCCGTGCAGACTGGTCAACTGTTGGATCAACTTTCTGGCCACGAGGGCCCTGTTTCCAGCTTGGCATTCGCTGGTGACGGTAACCATCTTGTCAGTGGTAGCTGGGATCGCACTGTTCGCATCTGGAGCGTCTTCGGCCGTGCGCAGACTAGCGAACCTCTCCAGCTCGTGTCAGATGTCTTGAGCGTCTCTTTCCGACCCGACGGAAAACAAGTTGCCGCATCTACACTGGACGGACAACTTTCTTTCTGGAATGTCACCGATGCTGTTCAAGAGGGTAACGTGGATGGTCGTCGCGATGTTTCTGGCGGCCGTAAGGTGTCTGACCGTACCACCGCCGCCAATGCTGCTGGAACCAAGTCTTTCAACCGCATCACCTACAGCGCAGATGGCAGCTGTATTCTCGCTGCTGGAAACAGCAAGTATATTTGCTTGTATGACGTGAATACTGGATCCATGATCAAGAAGTTCACGGTTTCGGTGAATCTGTCACTGGACGGCACCCAAGAGTTCCTGAACAGCCGCAACCTCACTGAGGCTGGACCTCGTGGGCTTATTGACGAAACTGGCGAGGCCTCCGATAAAGAGGACCGTATTGATCGTACGCTCCCTGGCGCCAAGCGTGGCGATGCCGGAGCTCGTACTACTCGTCCCGAAGTCCGGGTCACCTGTGTTGACTTCGCACCCACAGGCCGCGCATTCTGCGCTGCCTCGACTGAGGGTCTTCTTGTCTACAGTCTCGATACAGACTTTGTCTTTGATCCTGTCGATCTGGATATTACCATCACCCCGTCAACCATTCTCGCTACGCTGGATGCTGCCAAGGCTGCTGCGGAAGCCAACACCGTTGATGACGACAACACCTTCCTGAAAGCCCTTATCATGGCTTTCAGATTGAACGAGTCTAAGCTCATCCGTGCTGTCTACGAAGCTATTCCCCTTCAGACATCGCTCATGCAGTCCGATCCGTGCCCACAGTCTATCTGCCTCGCCTCCTCCGTTTTGTCGCACATGCTGCTGAAGAAACCCCCCATCTTGAATTCAACCTGTTGTGGTTCGAGTCTCTCTTCAACTGCCACGGTAGATATTTCAAAGAAAACTCAGGAACATTTGCCCCTGAGCTGCGTATTGTACAACGCGCAATTGACGACATTCGGGAAAATCTCAAGCGACTGACGGAGAAGAACCTCTATGATCTGAACTATCTACTATCCAAGCCCGTCCTTGCGGATAAGAAGTCCGCCAGTGCCTTATTGCCCATCGCCGACGATGATGTCGAGGGTGGTGATGATCAAATGGAGGATGCTGATGGCTCGGATGGCGATTGGATTGGTCTTGAATGATTCCCCATATAATGTCTATTTGCATTTGCGCAGGCGTTTGTATATTAGGTACCCCCTCAAAAGTGTATAGATGAACCCCAATTTTCAAAAGTTCAAATTTGCTAGTGCGCTCGATTGGCCCAAGTAGGTGAATATTTCCACGGTTGTGGTGAATACCTTAGTCGATCGAAGATATTTGACCGAGCTCAGTCCGTGCTTTAGCATGCAGCAGATAAGTGGCTGCTAGGCAATTTCTGGCTATACCTGCCTAGGTAGGATCCATTGAGAATAACAGCTACCCTGAATGCTTAATTTCTCAAATTTGGAGCGCAATCAAGATCCCATGATGGCCATTTAGTCCAGAGTGCAGAGCATTCCCACCCATCCATATTCACCACTAAGCTTCTCAGCATGGAATTCAGGGAAGGGGAGGATACTCCCCTAAAATATTCTTTGCTATCATTCTCGGACAGAATCACATATTGTCGGGATTGTACCGCCTGGTGCGACGGATATTCCCCGGTACGTCAATCACCATGGCAAGTCCCTAGATTTACAGACAGCGCCACAGGACCTCTGAAGCTAGTTCGAGGAGAAGATTTGGTCTTTGCTCCACTTTCTTAGCTGACACTAAAAATCCCCTCTCTAGTAGACAAAAGAGGACATGCTAATTCACGCGCCTACTCGGCTTCAAGATCTTTAGGTGTGGCACGATACAAGCATCCTACGCACTGATTCGTTTCTTCGGGATAAGTCCACCTGGGCAGTCAAATGCCGGCGTAGGTCCGATGAGCTTGGCGTGGCCAAAGCCCTTCCTGGGGCACCCCAGATACAATAGAATTTCATTCCAAAAATGCGGGGTATGGAGATAAACGTCCTATTTCGCGATGAAGGAGTGACAGTGCCGTCGGCAGCTTCCTGCTGCACTCGAAGGTCAATCTTCGCCAAGGCACCATGAAAAAGCTATAAATCGAGGAATCTCCCCTTGTTATTCGTGTCAGGTTTCTCAAGCTCTCTAACACCGCACAAGCATCTTTGTTATCGAGTATTAGCACCGTGGCGAAATTATGCCTTTCTCACTTCATTCAAACACAAATCTCTCGACATAAAGAATGATGTGGAACTTTCAGAGATCGCACCCGGTAGGGACCTCATCCTTGAACGATATGCGCTTATAAGGGACAAATCGGCGGAGGAGCGACGACAGATTGAAAAGTCACTTGTTCGAAAACTAGACTTTAAATTCTTGCCCATGGTTACAGCAATGCTGATGATGAATTTGGTAATCTACTCCATTCAATACGACTTGCGGCTAAATTGTTCCCAGCTATCTTGATCGTATCAATGTCTCAAATGCGCGATTGGCGGGCATGCAAAAGGATCTGGGTATGAGTGATCCTCAGTGGTCCGCCGGAATTTCTAGGTTCTATGTCGGTTACAGTATCTCTCAAATACCTGCCAATGTTATCATCGCCAAAGAAAGCCCTCGTCTTCTTCTCCCTCTTTGCATGCTCGCCTGGTCTATAGTCACCATATGCATGCCTGCCGTGACAGCGCCCTGGGCATTTATTTTTTGCCGTTTTCTTATTGGTCTTGTTGAGGGGCCTTTCGTTCCTGCTGTCTCGTTGATGACTTCATCCTGGTATACGAAGCACGAGTCTCCTCTTCGGATGAGTATATGGCACGCTGGTAACACTATCTCACAGGCGCTGTCGGGTCTTCTCGCAGCTGGAATCCTTTCCAATATGGAGGGAGTGGGGAATATTAGGGCGTGGAAATGGTTTCTTCTTCTCGAAGGTACGTGCTCATATGATTCAATTTTACCTTGAAGGGTCGAATCTAATTTTACGATGTAGGCATGGCCAGTATAATCGTTGCTGTCGTAAGCTTCTGGTTTATTCCAAATTTCCCCGATTCGACAGGTTCATACTTCATTACCGAGGAAGAGTCTGCCATGGCTCAGCATCGGCAATCGGTTTCTGCTGGTGGGCTATCTGAGGATGATTCAGGCGGCCACTGGGATGGATTCTGGAAAGCCATGAAGGACCCTTTTTCGCATCTCTTTGCGGGTATTCACTTTTCCTTGATTATTGCGCAGTCGTATAAAGACTTTTTTCCTTCGGTAAGACTTTGATCTTAGACTCTGACGCTATACCTTAAGCTAACCAACTTTTCTAGATCGTGAAAACTCTTGGATTTAGCAATAACATCACATACCTCATTCAAGCACCCCCACCGGCCATCGCATTTTTAGTGACTTTGGGAATATCCTGGTCATCCGGACGAAGATAAGAGCACGGCTACCACATCATCGGACCTATTTTAGCGACTCTCGTTGGCGCTGTGGTGATGATCACAACCCTCAACGTGGGTGCTCGCTACTTTGCTATGTCCTCTCCTTGTGGTGGGTCCGTTTGCTGGTCTTAGCGTAAGTCACTCCACGCACTCCGCAATTGTACGATACGTGTGTTGATCTTTTGCTCATCAGGTCCAAATTTCGTGGGAAACAACTGTCGTTCCTCGCCCTCGCACTAAGCGTGCTGCTCTCGTTGCTTATGCCAATTGTGTCTCTTCCGTGTCTCATTGGTTCACTCCATACTTCTTCCTAACCAACCAAGAGCCTTATTACCAGACTGGCGGAGGTGCTACTATTGCCGGCTGTGGTCTGACTACTATTTTTGTTCTCATGACCAAATGCTATTGTTCTAAGAAAAACAAAGGTCTGAAGGCAAGGCAGCTGAAGACGCTGCTGGTGAGCCTGAAGGATGGAGATATGCTAGTTAGTATTAGCAAGAGACCTGATCGGACCTCGGGGCCGAATACTAGTAGCAGTATGCGCTAAAAGTTATGCTTCGAGCCTTCCTAGAATATACTTGAGTCCAAGTTCTCTCTCTACTCGAGTAATTCGTGATTTTCTATTATTTTCTATCTTTTCTTTTCGCTTTGGTAGAACGTCTCAATGGCGCCGACGAGTCTATTACTACCAGCACTCTACATTTCTTTTTGAGTTCGCTGGGTACAACTTGTCACATTGCATAGATATTTGGCTGACCCTGAGTTGAAATTATTGTCTCTGCAAATATCAGATCTTGGAAAATTTTCATGCCACGGTTGGGCCGTTCTGTCCACTAATTCCGCTAGTGATTTTAACTTCCATAATTCAGTAGCTTTTACCGAGCTTCGCTTGGAGCGGCCCCCAATTCAGCCTACGCTAGGCTTTTAGTACGCTAAAAAAGGAAAACCCGGATATTTCGGGACCCAAATGTTTGTCCTGCCTGCTGCTTGACAAATTTCCCCCCTTATTTAATTAAGTTCGTCTCCCGCTCAGAGCCTCAGAGTGGACAAAGGACGATCTCAACCCTCAACCCCACATTCGTTTATAGAGAAAATCTGCAACCATGCACCGCAATTCGCTCGTTCAATTGGCCTTCGGTCTGACTTCTGCGGCTCTGGTCTCTGCTACGAATGATCCTAATTTTATTCCTTCGCTGAACTTCCGACCGGACAATGTCACTTCTAATAGACTGTATGATTGGGTTGGATCGTGAGTACTGCCTGTGGCTTCTCTCTATGATTCAACAAGCTGATTGATCAGATACTACAATGGAACTACTTCCATCAGCGTGAAGCCCTTTTCAGGGGTCTCTAAGCAGGAAATAGGTTCAGCTGAAAGCAACTTCTGCCCAAACTTGGAAGGCAAGGAGGTCAAGGCTCATTATGATTCTATCCTTGCTCTTACCGAACGAAGCAGCCAAAACGCCGGCAATAACTCCGTGAATGTCTTCTATACCCTCTGGGACGAAGGTTTCGATTTCTCAACCTTGAAAAGTAATGCAACGATCGCCGACTACCCCTGGAGCTATGGACTATTTTCTTCTGAGTGAGTGGAGCTGCCAGTTATTTTTTTATAGACAATTTGCGCTAATTAACGGGACGGTTTCAGCCCTGCAATTGCTCACAATGAGACGAATATCCCAGAACTATTTAATTTGACCGTGAGGAAGACCGAAGAAGCACCATACGACCTTTCAGGCTTACTTGGTGATTCTTATTACAACGGCTCGGACTTCGCTGGCAAGAAGACAATAATTTACAACATGACGACTTGCAATGGTACAAAGGACATACCATGGGACGGCGTGATGCTGACCAAAAAGCTCTGGAGTGAATATGACTCAAACGTTACCTACCCAAATCCATCTTTCGATGTACAATTCGACGACGAAACTGCCAATCTCACTTTATCCGGGTACATCATGAGCTATCCATCATGTGGAAAAAAGGCCACATTTTGCGAGGCAGACGTGTTGATCTATGCTGAAATTGAAATCACATTTTCAGGTACTATTGATATTTATCATTCGGATGAGCTGGAGACGGATGGCTCGACGCCGAAGTGGGAGAGGACTGTTGGCTTTGGAAATGGCACTCAAATTTCCAACGGATCGAGCCGTCGGGAACACTATGGCGTGCTATCGCTTCTAGCCTCTGCGTTTGCGCTATCGGTCACTTCTCTTTACATTTAGGTCTTTTAATACCAGTAGGTCATTTGACAGTTAATATCGTTACACAAGTGTGTATATATTTTATGCCTAATACTAGGAAACTTCATGATTGACAAATATAACCGGGCAGTCCTCGTCCCATCCACTGATACTAGTAGTATGATCAATACAGTTAAATAACCTTCTTCTTTTTGATCACTATACATATCATCACTATCTTCACCAGTAGGTTGGCAGCGCACAGAGAAAAAAGATCATTGGGCAAGATGATATACAAATTGACCAGGCTGGCTTAAGAATAGCTGTATGGGGGAGTTAGGTCAAGGTGCCCCCAAATGTCAGCATCGGGTTCTTTCGCACGATTCAATAATTCGCCGATGTTTTGCCAAAGGCAAAGCGATTGAAAAATTTGAAGACTTGAAGTATCACAGTAATGCTAAATTAGGAATTTCTGACGGATAGTCGTGGCTTATAGACCATCTACTCCACATTACTTCGTCGCACTAGTTATCTCAAATCCAAATAGATCGGCCATGTGTTTGGAAATTTCAAAAACTCAAACTGTACCTATGGCTTGAAAGGGCAGCCCTTTCTGGTTCCCATCCCTTTTCAAGGTTTTGCGGCTAAGCGGTCCTCCTGTTTTGATTATATTCCCATCCTTAGTGCCACAGAATAGTATCCGATGTCCCCTTGTGCTACCTTCCGCTCACACATTAAGATCTCCTCCATTCCTCCTAATACTACGTACGTCCAAAACTCGTTTTTCCCAATATGATTTCCTGGCTTGGGACTCATACGATTGGAATTTTCCAGTTATCACTACTTGGGCTTTTACTAATCTACCTTTTTTGTAGGAGGCCAAACACAAAACTAAACCATATACCCATCGTCAAATTCAACGCCTATCTACCTGACCTCATAAACCGACTTATTTACTATCCGAAGGCATGTTTGATGATTCAACAGGGCTATGAGCAGGTCTGAGAACTCTTGGAGTGGATTTTTCTGCAGAACGGCATGTTTACAACTTACAGTACAAGGACACTCCATTTCGTATGCTCACTGGCGACGGTGAAGTTGTGGTTTTGCCGAGCAAGTATCTGGAAGAGTTGAAGCACCTACCGTCATCCATTCTCAGTTCATTTGAAGCACAATATGAGGTACTTCTCCCAGTCAACGTGAAGGCGTGCGCGCAAATTCCTAACCAAACCTTGAATCAGATTGCCCTTGGCGATTATACAAATCTTGTGATAAGCAGTCATCTACCATCTCAAACAGTCAAACGATGTCTGACACCTAGGCTCCGTAGGTGCCCATGATTTTAAGGTTTTCTTCGTATGCTAATATCTGGATCGTGAACAAGCTCGAATCATACCTTGGGTGGTAAATGAACTTGGAGATGCATTCAATGCAGTTGTGCCAAATTGCGATGGTAAGCATCAATCTGGATTATCAAATGCCTTGTAAATAGATTAAGGAAATGCAGATGTATGGATTCCACTTCGGCCACACGAAATGTTCGGGCACCTCATTGCACGAGCGACATCTCGCATTGCAGGTGGCGACGCCCTACGTCGCAACGAAGAATGGCAGGCGATTGCAAGCAGCTACTCGACAAATGTAGGATTGGTTATTCTTCTTCTCCGTCCCTTTCCAGACTTTCTTCGGCCCTTTGTGGCACGATTTCTCCCACCAGTACGGCAAATGAAACAGCAACTTCAGTCTGCCAAGAAGCTCTTCACACCGATAGTTGAGCAGCGTCGGACAGCAGAGGCTGCCAACGACCCAGCCTACCAAAAGCCAGATGATTTTCTACAATGGATGATGGATGGTGTAGAAGATGAGCAAGACTTTGACCCTGAGATGCTCGCTCATCACATGCTTGTCTTGATTAGTATGGCGGCCATCCATACGAGTTCAATCACACTGACCCAAGCTCTCTATGATTTGATCGCCAGGCCAGAATACCTCCAGCCTCTGCGCGAGGAGATCCAAGTGACTTTGCAAAGCGGATGGGAGAACGCAACTAAGGCATCACTGGATGCGCAACGACGTCTGGATAGCTTCATGCGCGAGTCTCAGCGTTTCAATTCGATAGGCGACTGTAAGAGAAGGACCGTCTGACGCATAGCTATATGACTGTGTCTAACTTTGATTTATCAGTGTCCATGCACCGTATAGTTAAGAAGTCTTTGACACTCTCCGATGGCCTCATCCTTCCTGAGGGCACGCACATCTGCTTTCCAGCCGGTCCGATGTCGAGAGATTCATCTTTGGTCGCCAATGCTTCAAATTTCGACGGCCTCCAGTGGTGTAAAGAGTCAACTGATCGAAATGCTCTGAAGTCTGTCCATTATGATACAGCCATGGATGGCATAGATGATGCAAGCCCACATCGTTCCCAGTTGACCTCAACAACGTCAACCAGCTACATATCTCTCAGCCCCGCTGCCATGCACTTTGGCTATGGACGCCAGGCCTGCCCAGGTCGGTTCTTTGCTGGATGCATGATAAAAGCGATTCTGAGTCGGATTCTGATGGATTATGACTTCAAGTTCGAGAATGGTCGGGCTGGATGGAGACCTGCCAACCTCTATGTTGGCGAGCACATCCTTCCAAATATTCATCTAACTGTGTTACTTCGGAAAAGGAAACTCGACCTTTGATCATTGGCGATGAAAGCTTCTGTCGCTCAGTGGATTTAGTGTGCCGGAATATCATGAAATTGAATTCAAGTTCCAACCTTGGAAGCCTGAGGCTAATCTACAACTTGAATATCGCTCCTGATAGATTACTATCAGAACTATAATACATCCGAAATTAGGACCGCGAAATTATCAGCTACTTGGGAAATATTGGCTTTGGCATCGAATCCATTTTGTAACTCCTAATCAATCACTCTTGACAAACGAAGAGGTATAGTCCTGATAATAGTACAGTCCAAACGACCACCCAATTCTCAGAAAAAAACCCCACAAAAAATCTATACATAGGGATAGGAGAAGCCAAAGCATCTTAATTTGGTTTTAAAAGCCTAAATCGGACTAAAGTCAAGGCACTAGGAGCTTTCAGTGGCAGCACCTCGGCCACGTCCCCGACCGCCGCGAGACCCATTCCCACGACCACGTCCACGTCCCCGGCCACGGCCGCGCTGCTGGTCAATCCCCTGTGGGGGCGGGACATTGGTGTAGTTCTGCGGGCGGAAGTCGGGGTTGTTCTGAATGATCCCGTCAGAGGGGTCACTGTTATCGACTGAGACATAGCCGCCATTGTTATGCTGCTGTCCACCGCGACCTCGGCCTCGGGGTCCCCGCGGAGGACCACCGTTGCCTGGGGATGGAAAGGAAGATCAGAAGTCTGGCCATTGCGCATACCGCCACGACCACCAAGGGCACCACGGAAAGAACCTCTCAGAGGTGGAGGAACCGGGGCATTTTTCAGCTGGCCCTCTCCATTCGGTCCAAGAGGTGTACCGTATCCAGTTGTGGCCTGGGCCTGCTGGCCCTGTTGGCTAGTAGCGGCACGGGAGCTAGCGATGAGCTGACGGTGGGATATGTTCAATACAGATGATGCGAGCACTGTCTGTCCGCGGAAGGGCGAGCAGCGGTCTCCCAGGGTGGTTCCGCTCATAAAGGAAACATCAAATACCACATCGAGGAGAAGTGTCCTCGGGGTTCGGGTAAGACCGACAACTGTGCCACGGGTTGCGATAGGCACTTTACCGGAGTCTTGGGCATACACAACACGGTCGCCAAGTTTGAAAGTTTGGTTGTTTAGGCGATGCTCTGCATCGGCAGGGCGAAGGAGAGCACTGCGAGGAACCCCACGGACCTTCTTGGGCTGCATTGGAGCCTGCGACTGCGCCAGACTATCAGAATCACGCTCGATCAGCCCGACCATGTCCGAGTCCAGTTGCTCTGCATCAAGGGGGACTCTCTCGAAGTTTTTGGCTTCGATAGATTTGAGCCAATCACGGATCTCCTTCATTTTGAGGAGGGCATCTTCCTCCGAGTAAAAATCAGTTGGAGAATAGCGGTCTTGTTGAGGGCAGCGCTGGATTCCAGCGATGAAGTCAGGGAAATTGATCATGTACTGATGCAGCAGATCGACTGCCTTTTGACTGAACTCCCAGCCGTTGTCACCACGACGCGAGTATCCAAGGACCTTTTGTCCCCGGGCCTGGAACTTTAGGTTCAGGCCCAGATTCACGCGTTGGCCGTCAATGTCAACAGAGAACGAGGAGGTAATCTTGGCCAGCACCAGGGGGTTGAGGCGAAGATTGCGAGCAATGGCATAGGATGGCATGTAAGGGGAGTAACGCTCCACTTCCTTAACACGCTCTTTTCCGAACTCAGGTTCGCGGCCTTTCACAGCTGCGATCAATCCGTTGACCTTGCCATCTTCGTGACCAGTAATATGGACAGGTCGTCCGTAGTTGAAGTCACCTAAGAAGAAGGCACGGGAGTTTACCGGGAACTCTTCCTCGATCGGCAATGCTTCACGCTCAATAAAGCGCTCATCGGGATGAACCACTTCATCAACGACAACTTGGAGAGCATAATCGGTCTCCTGTCCGGGTATGTCCGCAAATTCCTTGACTGTGGCGCCGTCTCCGGTCTTGTTCATGCCTTTCAGCAACTGAATATGAACTAAGGCTTCAACGTCACCAATGATCATTCCAAGGCGCTTGCTGTAAGTGCCTTCGATCTTGGTCGCCTTCTTCTTCCACTGCTCGATTTGCTGCGGGGTATGGGGGATCGACACAACATGCTGCTCGCCTTCGGGCAGAATATAGTCAAAAAGCTCATCCGAAACACGGATCACAAGAGCCTCTTGCAGAGTGGGATACCCGACATGGACACGCTTGCCAAGCTTTGTCTTGGCCAATTCAATGCTGGAACGGCTGCCAGGGTCAAGAAGAGTGACAACCTGGCTCTCATTGCGACTTTCTTGTTGGAACACAGTAACACCGTGGAAGCCGAGTTGGCCAACCTGTGGAAGCGTCTTGATACTAGGAAAGCCAGCCAAAGCTGCCTTGCCCAGGTAGGCACCATCCATCAGCCCGTTGTACGGCTCTAGGCCATCCATGACAGGAAGATCGAAGACATTCTCGATACAGTGACAGTTCGGAAGGTCGGGGAACACGCCAGGCATCGAGGAGGGGTAGATGAAATTCACGTCAGGCGAATAGGTGAACTTGAGACTGACACCAAAAGTGTTTCGTGCCTTCTCGTCTGGACTGAGGGCGTTCTCTTTGGTTTTCAATGCATCCAATAGTCGTTTCTCGTCGATGAAAGGGATTTTGACCACAGCTTCCCACTCCATCTTCTTTCCGTTCATATCCAGATCGAAATCTCTGGGGTAGAAGTCAATGATGGGGGATTCGGGGGATGTCATTAAATCCCAGTAAGCGGTAGGCACAATCTTTTTACTGCGATCGGGCAAGACGCCCATCAGCTGATCGTACGGACGGAATGGCTGTCCAAGTCGGAAGTTCATGTCAACACCCAAGCCCATAACAATATCTAATCCATTGTCAGTAATGAAAATATGGGCGGGGGCATTAATTGGGGTCACTTACCGGAGATCATAGGAGCATAGTGATACTTGAAGAACCAGGGCCATGAGGCGATACCCCGATAATAGTAAAACAAGACCCACTGCAATCCTTGCACATAGTTTTCAGCCAGCTTTGTCAATTCCTCCTCGTTGTCGAGACCCCAACCAAACTTAGACCGATAGTAGTTGTCTTTCCACTCATGGAACTTGGCGTCATACGTCTCCTGTGCCTTTCGTTGTGCCTCCTCCGGGGTCATTTCCTGGATCTTGGCTTTCTCGTACTTCCGAATGATACGATGAATAGCCATGGATGCTTCTTCGTCGTCGTCGTCACTTTCGTCGTCGTCATTTTGAGGTTGGGGTAGCTGAAGTCTCATGAAACGATCACCAGTCTCGGTGTCCGTGGTAGACCAGGGCACCCGCAATTCATCCGCCAAGCGTTCCACAAAGGCGCGGTCGCGGGCTGGAAGGGTGGGCGGGAAGTCCAAGGGCTTCAGCTCAGCACTCTTCCCAGATCGATTCGACACGTACTGCTTGACCTTCTTGAGGATCTCCTTTTGCGCAGAGGTGATTGTTAATTCCTTCGGCTTCTGTTGCAGCTCTAAGGAGCCGTCATTGCCATTCTTCTTGGACTTGACCCACTGCGCATCTGAGTTCTCGCCTTCGAAGAACCTATATTCAAAGACGCTCATTGCTTCCACAAGGGTACCCAACCGTTTCAGGTTGATCACACCTTCTTCGTTGATATATCCACCCATCTTTCGCAGAACGTCCTTGTAGATCGTGAACATGAGAGAGAGCGCGCCCTCGTTGATGTGTAAGTTGGGCAAATTAGGTAAGAAATCGTTTCCAACGAAAAACGCCATGAGGATGAAGTCATCGATCACATGTTCCATGTCGAATGGAAAGTTCAGAGCGCCGGGCTCTTTCAGCTCCTGGAATTCTAGCTCTAGGTATTCTCGAACCAGACTCAAATGTAACAGATAGAAATTCTGATGCTCGAGCTCTTTCGGTTTAGACTTTGTTTGACGGCCAAAAGTCACCTCCTCGCGGAGCAAGGAGAAGTGAGGATCATGGCTGAGCAAACCCAACATGATCAAATCCGCGTCCAGGCCGTAGAGACAGTGACGCACGTTCGGGGCGTAGTCGGGTTGTGCTTTCGCATTTCGGATGTATTCCATGATCTTGTGCTCACCCTCACCGGGGACCTCGTGGCCGGAAAGGACAATCTCCACACCTTGCCAGTCTGTGTCCTCGGAGATCTTCTTGTTGATGAAATACTTCAATTGTTGCGTCAATTTTTGCATGAACTCCGTACCGGGGGTAATGCAATTGCTGTCAAATGCATCTTCTTTTGGCATCTCCAGGCCTTGCTCGATGGCCTTGTTCTTCGCGTTCTCGGCATCTAGAGCCGTCCGGAAACGACGCGCACGTTGTTGGTTCATCTTTGCACGCGGCGCCACACCGTCCACGGCCATGAAGAACAGCTTTTTGGGCTTGATTGTTCCAAACAAGTGCTCGATGTAGTTGAAAATCGCGATGAACATTTGCTCTTCGGTCATGCGAAACGTCGGAGAGTCACTATCCTTATGCGTGCAGTTGTGGATAATACCGTTCATATCGAGGTATAGATTGTCGAACTCGGGGATGCGACTCTCTGCAATGAGCATCGAGATGGCGGGGTACCGCTCGCTGAGCCAGCGGAAAAACTTAGGGACACCCATATTGAACAGTCGTATCTCGTCAAAATGTCAAAATAGAGAGTCTCGTTGGAATGGCCAAGGTCAAACAAGACCGGTGGGATGATCTTGCTCGGTTGGAGGAGAAAGAGGATCGTCGGGATGATAAGAATAGAACTTGCGACCAAAGCGAGAAGGAAACCATCCAAGGGGGGTAGGACAGTAGAAAAGGAAGTATCGCAAGAATCGCGAAGGGGCAGTTTCTGTAGAGGCCCCAAAAGAAGAGAATAGAGGGGGGAGAGGGAGGGGAAGGGTGCAGGAAAAGGTAGAAGAGAGAGAGAGGGTGACAGGTAGAAGCGGGAAGCTTGAGGTGAGGTCAGTCATGTCAGGTTTGGCTGCGCCAAGCCCGCGGCTGCCTATTCCGGTTTAGTGCCGCCTGACGCCCATTAACGCGCGGGCGGTCACCCCGTCGCGTTGCGAGCTCGCTCTCCTTCCACGAGCTTTCTCCAGTCCAACTTCGTTTCCTTCGGACTCTTGCGCTCATTCTGCGTCGCATTGCACTCAATACCCAACAACTACAATTATGGAGCCCTACGAGGAAGATCCGCGTGAGTTTCGAGACCTGTCGCAACTAAGGGAAATCTCGATCTAACGCAACCACAGCTGCGGTGGAGGACCAGGACCAGGAGAATGAGCACAGCACTGAAAAGATTGTCAATGAAGGTCGCTACCCCCCTGATACCAGTCGCAATTCAAGCTGAACGTCATGGCTAACATTGAATATATGTGCAGAGTACAAGACATGGAAGAAGAACGCTCCGTTTCTCTACGACATGATTCTCAGCACAGCTCTAGAATGGCCTACACTCACAACCCAATGGCTTCCAGACAAGCAAGAGTGTGTTGCCCCAATCACCTCGATATCTACACCATTTAATCTAATGCCTTGCTCCACTCTAGAGTTCCTGACAAGCCTTATTCGACCCATCGCCTATTAATCGGTACCCACACGGCCGGCGATGCTCAAAATTATCTTCAGATTGCTCATGTGCAGCTCCCCAACCCCAATGCTGCCAACCCAGAAGACTACGATGAGGAGAGGGGTGAGATTGGTGGATATGGCGGTGCCTCCAAGAAACCCCAAATGGAGATCAAGTTCAACATTGCCCAGAAAATTGATCACAAGGGAGAGGTGAACAAGGCACGATATCAGCCACAAAACCCTAACATCATCGCGACCATGTGCACGGATGGTCGGGTGATGATCTGGGATCGTTCTAAGCACCCGAGTCAACCGACTGGAACTGTGAACCCACAGATGGAGCTTCTGGGCCACGAAGCGGAGGGTTTCGGACTCAGCTGGAATCCCCATGAAGCTGGTCACCTTGCCACAGGTAGCGAGGACAAGACGGTTCGCCTCTGGTATGCTATTTGATTTCAACGGCGACACTACCGGCGAAGAGAAGCTCATTCTATTCTATAGGGATTTGACGACATACACAAAGGGCAATAAGGCCCTTCGACCGACCCGCACCTATACCCACCACTCCTCAATTGTTAACGATGTTCAGCACCATCCTCTCCACTCATCCCTTATCGGAACTGTGTCCGATGATATCACCCTCCAGATTCTCGACGTTCGTGCAGCCGACACGACCCGCGCTGCGGCATCTGCTGAAGGCCAGCACCGTGATGCAATCAACTCAATCTCTTTCAACCCTGCTGCTGAGACTATTCTGGCGACTGGATCCGCAGACAAGACCATCGGATTGTGGGATCTGCGAAACCTCAAGACGAAACTCCACTCGCTTGAGGGCCACACCGATTCTGTTCAGTCAGTCTCTTGGCATCCGTTTGAGGAATCCGTTCTGGCCAGTTCCAGCTATGACCGTAAGATTATGTTCTGGGATCTCAGCCGAGCGGGCGAAGAGCAGACTCCGGAGGATGCGCAAGATGGTCCCCCTGAACTGTATGTCCATCAATCTTTCTGCTTACTACTGCGATCACTAACTCATAAATTAGTCTCTTCATGCACGGTGGCCACACCAACCGGATTTCTGACTTCAGCTGGAACCTCAGTGACCCCTGGGTTCTGTGCTCGGCTGCCGAGGACAACCTGTTGCAGGTTTGGAAGGTCGCGGATGCGATTGTTGGCAAGGATCTGGATGACGTCCCTACTGAAGAACTGGAAGCATGATCTGCTATGTCTCTATCAACACCCCACTCAGTTACGCCTAGTTATTTGCAATGTTGGTCTTTTTTTTTCCAGTTATGGTTGATGGCGAATCATAGGGTTGATCATAATGAGACACATTTCGAAAATACCATTTTGAAATTAAGGAAATCAACGCAATAATCCAATAGTCACAACAGTTGTACTTGTCTAATAAGGTGGCAACTCCATCTCCACAAGTAGAACCTTCTCTCCAGCATACTCTGTCGATCTCAACATCGACATCTCAGTCTCAAACGAAGTTTCCGCTTCCCGAGCAGCGAGAAAGAGGGAACTCCTTCTTCGAGCACATGGTAATGGCTCCACTGATCCATTTCACCCCCGCATAGGATCCATCTTCAAGGGAATCAGCAGAAAAAGTTCCGTCCTCAGTCTGCGAACCAAGACAGCCCTTCAGAACACGGCCAGTCTTCCGGGTCTTGATAGGCTTGGTGATCATCACGCCAGAATAGCCGTCTGCAACGGTTCCCTTGACGGTGACTGCAGTCTGTGTCGTCCATGTGCGGGAGTAGTCGATACCCACCGATCCACCCAATTTATCCTTGATGAAGTTTAGATCGAGGCCGGCGCTAACACTGACGGAGTTGCTGACAGTGTAGCCTGACATGACAGAGACGTCCATACCAGTGGTACCAGTGCCAATCACCACTGGTGACATCTGAACGTCCCAGTCAACGAATGTCTGTGTCTTGTCGGTGATCACCGCAGTCGTATAGCCACAGTCATCCCGGGCGTGGATGGTTCTGTTGTGCTTAGCAGATCCGACAGGGAAAACTTCAGTTTCCGGCGCGTTGAGTGAATGCCCCTGGGCAGCCATGAGGTTGTGATAGACGCTTTCGTGGACAACCTCCACTAAAATGAATAAATTAGCCGTCCGAGTCTTCATTGACGTGTTGAATAATTATTAGAATCTCTGGTACTTACTCCGGCCATTACCAAAAAGAATGACTTCACCCTGCTGGAGGATATGTTCCGGAGTCCACTTGGTACTATTCAGACGATGCTCAACGACTGGAACTGCACTGACTGCTGTGGCCAGCACAAGGCCCATGATATTGACAGCAAGCATGTTGATAGAGACAGAGAGGTTTTGCGAACGAAATGAGGGAAATGAAAAAAGTGTGTGGAATACCCAGCGTAATCCTTGATCTACTGGATGAATTTATAAAATTTTAATTAGTCCAGAAGCGTCCCTCTAAATCTCAGGGTCTGCATTGAACTCGTACCCAAACCCTTGGTATTCAGGGCCGTGGATCTGACGATTTGGGTCCGCCTGCTGTTTACGGGCACGATGGACATGTGCCTGTTCCTTCAAACCGAGAATCTGGAAAATACCTCATGAGTACCCTCTACAAAGTACCTTGCAGGATGAAAGTCAACCGAAGAATAAGCCAGTGTCTCAGCTATAGTCGAAGGTTGACCCGACAGTTTGTTTGAGATCATATGACCCAAGGGTAATCTTCTTCAGTTCGAGAAACCTCTGAGCTACCAGCGAATGGAAATGGCACGAAGTTACCGGCAGCCTGATGATCGCTGTCTTGGCGAAAGTGAGATAGGCATACCCAAAGGTAACCCTCGATCCTGCAGATAAGTTCACGTCGATCTAATACCCCATCAGGGACTATGGAGATTTGATGGAAATGAGGGTGACACATTGTCTCATTTTTGGTATTTGTGAGATATATGAGGTATAGATGTATCTTTAGCCGCCGAGGTTTTGCCAACCTGTAGTGTTGCAGTGAGGCAATGATTATCCCGAAATTATCCCGGATCTACAAACCCGAAGTGCCGGATCGGGCGGCGTCGAGCACTTAGAGTTTGAATCTGAGAGACATGAAACGGTTGGATGCGTTTAGGCGATTACCGGGGCGTATAGAAGGTTCAATTGAAGTGGATCACAATATGCTCTGGTGGCTTGATTCCTCTAGTTATCGACGCAGTAGGCATCTGGTTTGTTCAATTTAGCTGAATAAAAAGGATTTAAGGGCTTGAAGATAAAAACCAAGTGTTTTCTTACTTTCCTCTCTGCAAAGTCTTTTAATTCCACCCACAAATTCTTCTCAAACATCCATTCCCCTCATCATGCAGCTCATGACAGTCTCGGTCTTCTCCATTCTTGTTGGATGGTATGCATCCCATATCCCGCGTTACAGCTCGAGATAAAATCAAGCAGTGTCTGACTTGATTTAATTTGAACATAGCACCTTCGCTAAGATGCATAACGTGGCAGTCTGTGTCACTAACAGGAAGTATTCTGAGGTTGGAGGCACTGCCTTCAGTCCTAGTTACACATGGTCCAAGGACTATGAGATCTTGCCCGATGCGACCAAATGTGCCTGTGACCTCTACAAACAACGCAATACCGGTGACAAGCAGTGGGATCAATGTCCTGATTGTACTTTTGTATGATTTAGCCCATTCGAAGACATGATCAGTGGCAGCCCAGCTAACACATATTATTACCTAGGACGGCAACTACTGCAATTCTGCCGACTGGCATATTGGGGGCGATGAGGTAAGTCCAATTTTAATATAAATTGAGCCGTGCTAATATTTACAGATTACCTACTACTGCGAGGAAATGTGTCATGCCCAAGGTGCTGAGGGAAATTAAATTCAAGGGGCATTCGAGTTTGAGAATAAAGTTGCTATCGCTGGGAGTTCATACAGACAACTAGTATTAAACGTCAAGTGTTCAACGGTGCTATTTCGAAACTGCATTTAACCTTCCAAGATTGTAGCAACAAGTAATAATTGAGGCAACTTTGGAATGTCATAGTAGTAGTATCGTGGAAGCAAGCGTTTCGTTTCT